GAACTGCACCAGCACGCACGTGGTATTCAGGTAAGGGGTAGGTTTATTCAGTAGACCTGCTGGGACCAGGCAAGGTTGGCACTCCACGTGGCTGGGAAAGAGAGAGAGCAAGAAAAGAACAGAGAGAGAGAGCTAGAATAGAACAGAGAGAGCAAGAAAAGAGGAGCAAGAGCAAGAGAGCATCTGGGCCTGGGCTAGGCCTTATGTAGGGTATGGGCGGAGAAGGGTGTGGCCACATCAAATTCGGATGTGACCTCAGCGGATGCAGATGTGACCTCTTCCAGGTGTGCCAGTTGCCTAGGTAATGCAGGTACTGGGTGGAGACTTTGCTGCGAGGAGGGTGGAGTCTGCTTGCCATCCAGGAGCGGACCTTACAATTATGACACAGAAGCCACTAACAAGGACTATTAGAGAGCAATATAGGAAGTTGACAATGAGGACTGAAGAAAGAAATATAAGACAATAGAAGATGTAAAGATTGTTCCTGTTCATGGACAGAATTAAAGTGGCCATATTACTAAAAGCAATCCATAGATTCAATGCATCTTCATCAAAATTCCAGTGATATTCTTCACGGAAATCTTAAAATGCATTTAAAATCATAAATGACCTTGAATAACCAAAGTCATCCTAAGTAAAAAGAGCAGTGCTGGTGGTAGCAAGTACAACACTTGACCTCAAACTGCCACAAGCTATAGAAGCAAAAATAGAATGTTACTGGCATTTAAAGAAATATGAAGGGGCTGGGAAGGTGGCTCAGCAGTAGAGACCTTGCCTTGCATGCATGAGGCCCTGGATCCAATTCCTCGGTACCACATGAACAGAAAAAGGTGGAAGTGGTGCTGTGGCTCAAATGATAGAGTACTAGCCTTGAGCTGAAGAGCTGAGAGGGACAGTGCTCAGGCCTAGAGTTCAAGCCCCACGACCAACAACAACAAAAATATGAAGACCAACAGAAGACCCAGAAACAAGCCCATAGTCACAGCCATCTGATTGACAAAGGTACCAAAATATTTTCAAACAGCCTCTTTAACGAGTGGTGTTGGAAAAACTGAATTCCTATGTACCACCTTGTATAATCAATTCAAAATTTAACAAAGGAATCCTTCACATCCATCCCAGAGGACCACAGGAAGAAATTACAAGGTTTATTAGAGGAGCCATATTTCCCCAAAGAGGGAGCACAAGCCACAGTCCCTACCCAGATAGCAGGTGGTCAGGGGCAGGAAGTGAGGAAAGTGGGAGCTCAGGCAGGTCTGGGCGGAGAGAGGGAGCTCCTTGGCAGGGAGGAGCTCAAGTATGGGTGGAGCTGAGGACCAAAGGTGAGCATAATGCAAGCAACAAAAACCTTAAAGCTAAACTTGAAAGCTTGGCACTACTACTAAAAACATGAAAAAACACTTGAAATGAGAGTCAATGACTTTCTGAACAGGACTCATGATAGCAAGGATTGTATTAAATTAAAAAGCCTCTGCATAACAAAACAAACAGGGTGAAGAGAGAGACTATTTAACAGGAGAAAACATTTGCCAGTTATTCATTAAACAGTATACACAGAGTTAAAAAAATAAATAAAGAGGGCAAATAAGTGGAATACTTTAAAAAAAAATGAAGTACAAATGGCAATAAGTGTTCAACATCTTTAGCCATCAAGGAATGCAAAACCAATCAAAACTTTACTGAGATTTAATTTCATCCCAGTCAGCATGGCTATCAGCAAGAAAACAAGACAACAAATACTGGTAAGAAACAGGTAAGAATACTCCTTATACACCTAGTGGAAATATAAATTAGTTCAGCCACTATAGAAATCACTTTAAAGATTCCTCAAATTATTAAAAATAGAATTAACATATGATTCAGTGATATGTATCACATATAAAACAAGTATGTATATTATGTGATTCTTTATATGCAAAAGAATGAAAATCAGCTTATTAGTGGCACTGTGGCTCAAAGTGGTAGCGCATTAACCTTGAGCTGAGACACCACTCTTTAAGTTCAAGGCCCAGGACCAACAACAACAAAAAAGAAAGTCAGATTATAGAGATATCTGAACACCATGTTTATTAAGGCACTATTCACAATAGCCAAATTATACAACCTAGATGCCGATTGTAAGGTCCGCTCCTGGATGGCTAGCAGACTCCACCCTCCTCGCAGCAAAGTCTCCAGTACCTGCGTTACCTAGGCAACTGGGACACCTGGAAGAGGTCACATCTGCATCCGCTGAGGTCACATCTGAATTTGATGTGGCCACACCTTTCCCCGCCCATACCCTACATAAGGCCTAGCCCAGGCCCAGACGCTCTCTTGCTCTTCTTCTCTTGCTCTTCTTTTCTAGCTCTCTCTGCTCCAGCTCTTTCCTCTCTTTCCCAGCCACGTGGAGTGGAGTGCAAACCTTGCCTGGTCCCAGCAGGTCTACTGAATAAACCTACCCCTTACCTGAATACCACGTGAGTGCTACTGTTCTTACCCCTCTCTCTGCTCTTTTCTCTCTTTCCTCTCTTTTGCCAGCCACGTGGAGTGCCAACCTTGCCTGGTCTCAGCAGGTCTACTGAGTAAACCTACTCCTTACCTGAATACCACGTGGGTGCGGGTGCAGTTCTTACTCAGCTCTACCTCTTTCTAAAAAACCTAACACCGATCAATAAATGAATGACAAAAGAAAATGTGGCATATATCCACAATCAACATATCTAGGCATAAAGTACAACAAAATTATGTCATTTGTGGAAAAACAGATGGAATTGGAGATGATGTGAAATAAGCTATTCTCACAAAGTACCATGTTTTCTCTTATATTTGGAATTGAGGGGAGGCATAAAGTAAAAAGAGGGATGTAGAAGAAAAAAAGGGATGAGAGGGATGATAAACATGGGTAATGAGTGAAAATGATCAAAGTACATTATATGCATATAAGAAAATGTCAGAATGAAACTCAGTACTTGGTCAATTTATGCTAACAAAGCTGAAAGATAGAAACAAACATCTATGAACATTTAACATTGGCCAGTGTAGGTAAGGAGGTTAACCTGCCACATTGCTACCACAATTAATGGGGAGAAATGTATAGAAGGCACAGACTCTAAGGTAACATAAATGTAACAGATATCAAACCAAATAAAATGTCTAATATTAAATAAAAATTAAACTAATTTCTACTCAGTAAATTTTTGGGGGGGGTTCTGGTCGTGGGGCCTGAACTCTGGCCTGGGCACTGTCCCTCAGCTCTTCAGCTCAAGCTCTACCACTTAAGCCACAGCGCCACTTCCGGCTTTTTCTTTTTGCTTATATGGTGCTGAGGAATCGAACCCAGGGCCTCAGGCATGCAAGTACTCTACCACTGAGCCACCTTCCCAGCCCCATACTCAGTAAACTTTTTGTAACTTAAAGTACCATGGATGCTGGCAAAGCTTGACTTACAAATTACAAAAAATATAATTTAAAAGCTCTTTTAAATTCTCTTTGGCATCAGTAGTCACTAATATTGTTCTAAACCTAGACGCATCAAACTTAAGTTTAACTCATCAAGTTTGATACAAAGAATAGGGATGTATGGGCGAAAGGTTAAGCCTTCCCACTCCCCTCCCCAAATAATAATCCCTGCAATGGTACATATCCAGAAAAACCACTTAGGAACACAAAAACTTCCATTTTAATAAAGGCACTGAAAACTTTTATTCGTGAACAACCTTCGTTGTGGATGTACCTACAAACTTGCTTATGAAGCTGTAGAGAAAGTAGCAAAGTCCGTTTAAAAGATCCCAGTAAACCAATCACCCGGGCACACTAGTAGTATCGTCCTTCCTAGGATGTACAACTGCACACATATAACATTTTACTTTTTGTGTGTGTTTTTAAAGCTGTCCTAGGAACCCTGGTACGGAAAGCGTGAACCACCTCAGGAAAAGATGTCATCACCCAGGGACAGCAAGAATAGAACGTAAATCCCTTGACTCCCAAGCTTGTGTTCTGCACTAATTGTGCTTCTTTGTATCCATCTGAGAGCATCCAGTGTAGAAAGGCTGGGGAAGGAGAGTGGACACAAATGAGCCGAGGTGGAGACTGCCCTGGAAGAAATCGCCCTCGGCCACTGGCGTCTTAATTCGGGCTCAGCAAGATGAAAGCAGCCACCACAAACCCCGGGGACCAAGAACTGGAACTAGGTACAGTCTGGGGTGGTAACTCTCTCTTCCTGGCTTGAGGTCCCGGCTTTCACCTCCCGCTTCCGGCCGGGCCCCCAGCGCTCTGCTCACCCCTCACCCCGCCATCTGCACGTCGCTGCGGGGGGACCCCGTCACCGGGCCCTCCCGCAGTCTTTAGGAGTTCTCGTCTGGGAGATGAGCGTCACCCAGCATTATAGACGTGGTTCTAACGTTAGGAACTTCAGAGGTCGGAACGGGGCCCCCCCCCCAACCGCGTCCGCACGCTCGGCGGCGCGGGTCTCCAGACAAAGCGAACCGTAGACAATAGCACACCGTTCCCCCCCCCCTCCCGCCCACCAGTGTGTCGGGCCGACAGCCTCCCTCCCCCGCCCCCAGCTCTCCCCCGGGCAATCTCCCGCCGGCAGACACCTTCCGGAGCGCCCGCGCTTGCTCCTCTACTTGGCCGGGAGGAGGAAAGATGCTCGTGAACCCCAAACCGTTTACTCCGCCCAACGGCCAGGCATGCGTACTGAGCCGGCCGGTGGGCTCCCGCGGACTACAAGTCCCAGAAGGCCACGCTCCGCCGGGGGCGGGCCGGCCGGCCGCGGACCTACCGCGAGCTCCGTTCCTCAGCCCACCCTCCATTTCTCCCGCCTCCCTCGGCTCGCCCATAAAAGGCTACTTCCCCTTGAAGGAGCGGAGGCGCCCTAGCAACCTCAACATCTTAGCCCCTCGCGTACTCGCGTTTTCTGCCTGACTCCCTCTCCGGAGGGGTGGTGGTGGTGAGAGAAGCCATAAGCTTGTCAAAGCCGGGTTATCCGGACGCACTTCCGCCTCCCCGGGACTCGGGACGTATTGCGCACGCGCGAGCGGCAACTCCGGCGCGGGTGGCTTCCGCTCCCATCGTGCACTGCGAGCCGAATCATGGATCACACTGGTAAGGAGGCGGAGGCTCTGGGGGTCCCGGTTTCTACCCCCCACAACTGATGTGGGACTCCTAGCGCAGTAGGCCAAAGGGGCTATGCTCTACCAACACCTCTGGAGTATAGCGGGGAGAACCGAAGCTCGCAGAGCCTTTCCTGTGCGGAGCGGGGCCTGCGGCTTCCCGGCCTACTGTCCGGTGCTGTGCCTCCATCCTTGGGGCCGGCCAAAGCCGCGGCTTCTCTGGTGCTGCCGAGATCGGAGCCGGGACCCGGGAGTCGCGAGCGTGGTGGGAGTGGGAGGGTGGAGGGAAGATCTCTTCCCCCCCCCCCCTCAGCCCAAATGCTCTGCATTACGTTACGGGGAATTGTAGGGTGGATTCCGTTCTCCGAGCTAGAGGAGCAAATTATTTATGCTGGGAATAGATAGGTGAGAGGGTTGGAGACATTCTGAGTTCTCTTGTCAGCATTGGGGATGCTGCAGTGGTTAGCTTCTGCAGTGGTCCGCTTCTGTCGTTGTTGTGTCTCTGACCCTTAAAGGGTTTGACTAGTGGTTAGATTAGGAAGTCCTAAGCGGAGCACTTTTTCTAAACCCAAAGCATACCCCGCTTTTCGTCGGTCGTCCTTTTTCATCATTTGTAGCTGTTTATAAAGGGGATTTTTAAAAATCGAAGCATTCACGTCCTGAGCACCAAGTAAGAACAGCTCCACCTTTTGTTATGTGTTTATTGACTTTTCTTCCTTGTGGCTCTTGGATTTTGGATGAGTTAACTAGTCATTAAATGCGTCAGTTTTATCGATCATAGCACAAATAGGGGAAAAGATCTACTTAGGTATTGATTGGAATGTCTACATCAGATAACCTACTTAATTATATAATGTAAATATGTATGCTATATGTATCATATACATATATATACACACACACACACACACATCAGAGTCAGGTGTTTGTAGGTCTGGGAATGGGATGATGGTATAGTAAATAACAGGACTGGGTTCGTGTCCTATTGGAGATTACATTGATTTGGGGAAAACAAGAGTTGCTGGGGTTTTTTTTACTTTTAAATAAAATTTGTTTGCATATGACAGTTGAGTGCTTTGAAGAAAACTGGGCGCTCTGCCGTAGAAAATTTCAGGTAAATTGCACAAGGATGGTCTTTCTGGAAGGGTAATAGTTAAGCTGAGGTCTGGTAGATGAGAAGAATCTGGCCGTAGAATAGGGCAAGGGAAAAAGCATTCCCAGCTAATATAAAGGCACTGAGAGATGAGGTGGTGTAGAGAAAGCCAGTACTCTGTAGCCTAGTTAGAAAGAGGAAATGAGCCCTTTAGATGATATGGGAAAGGGGAAACTCTTCAAAGCTCTTGTTCAGGACTTTGAAAACCATGCCGAAGATGTGTAAGTGACTATAAGCTATTGAACAGAAGCAGTAGAGAAATGTAATAGTTTAAATATGGACTATTCTGTGGAAAATACTGTAATAGAGGAAGACAAGAAGAATAGAAAATAATCTACAAGACAATATTAGTAGTCCAGAGGAGCACTTGGTTTAGTGAAAATGAATAGGTGGTTCTTTTTTTTTTTTTTTTGGTAGGTTGCAGGGCTTGAACTCTGGGCCTGGGCGCTGCTGTCCCTCAGCTCTTCAGCTCAAGGCTCGCGCTCTACCACTGGAGCCATAGCGCCACTTCCGGCTTTTTTTGTGTATGTAGTGCTGAGGAATCGAACCCAGGGCCTCATGCATGCAAGGCAAGCACTCTACCTCTGAGCCATCTTCCCAGCCCCGAATAGGTGGTTCTTGTAGCTTGATAGAATACTTGGCCAGCAGTCCAAGGTCCTGGGGTTGATCTCCATCAACTCAGAAATGACCCCCCCCCAAAAAAAGAAGAAGAAGAAGTGGGGAGAGGAGGAATGGGCAGCTACAGTAAATATTTTGATGGTAGACCTGAAACATTAACTCATCAATTTGTTTGGAGATGTGTGAGGAAAAACAAGAAATGCTTGGGTTTCTGATATGTCCATCATGCTAGTGCCTGATGTTAAGTTGGGGACAACTTAGAAAAATGTACCTTTTAAAAATGATAGGAAGGGGCTGGGAAGGTGGCTCAGTGGTAGAGTGCTTGCCTTGCATGTGTGAGGCCCTGGGATCGATTCCTCAGCACCACATAAGCAAAAAGAAAAAAGCCAGAAGTGGCTCTGTGGCTCAAGTAGTAGAGTGCTAGCCTTGAGCTGAGGAGCTGAGGGACAGCACCCAGGCCCAGAGTTCAGGCCCCACGACCGGACCCAAATAAATAAATAAATAAAAATGATAGGAAGCCAGGTGCTGGTGGCTCACACCTGTAATCCTAGCTACTCAGGAGGCTGAGATCTGAAGATCGTGGTTCAAAGTCAGCCCAGGCAGGAAAGTCTGTGAAACTCTTATCTCCAATAAACCAATAGAAAACTAGAAGTGGTGCTGTGGCTCAAGGGGTAGAGCACTCACCTTGAACTGAAGAGCGCAGGGACAGCGCCTAAGCCCAGAGTTCAACCTACCAAAATAAATAAATAAAAATGATAGGAGACAGGCTGAGAACTTGGCTTAGTTGGTAGAGTGCTTGCCTCACGTGCATGAGGCCCTGGGTTTGATTCCTCAGCACCACATAAGCAGAAAAAGCCCAAAATGGTGCTGTGGCTCAAGTGGTAGGGTGCTAGCCTTGGGCTGAAGAGCTGAGGGACAACGGCCAGGCCCCATGAATGACAAAAAATAAAAGAAGATAGGAGAGGGCTGGGAAGGTGGCTCAATGGTCGAGTGCTTGCCTTGCATGCATGAGGCTCTGGGTTTGATTCCTCAGCACCACATAAACAGAAAAAGCTGGAAGTGGTGCTGTGGCTCAAGTGGCAGAGCCCTAGCCTTGAGCTGAAGAGCTGAGGGACAGTGCCCAGACCCAGAATTCAAGCCCCATGACCACCCCTCTCCCCCTCAAAAAAAATAAAGATAGGAGATAGGCATTTGAAAACAATTTGATTTTGGACTGCCAAGTATGAGGTGTATATTGATACATGGAGGGAAAGGAAAGATAGGAACTGAAAATATATATTTGGAGATTTGTTGTAGTTGATACCTTGAGGCAGAGGATTGGTGAGATCATTTGAGTGAGTACAGAATAAAAGAAGGACTGAAATCAAGTTCTAAGGAACTCCAATGTCTGGAAAATTTGTAGAGTTGAAATTTTGGGATCTTGAAGGTACAGCGTTTGTTACAGCAAAAATATTTCTCATTTGATCTTGTTACTAGACTTGGGAATCAAATCCCTGCCACAGTTCGAAGACTTTTAAGTATGGAAATAGGAATCTAAATGTTTGTATAAAAGTGCTCATCATCCTACTTTTCTAAGCGAAAAGGTTTCTTCAGGAAGTAAAAGTCATCCTAATTGAAAACAGTCATTAGTGTGCTGACCAGTCAGATGTCTTCTGCTAGAACATTAGCATTATGTGCTTTCAGTTTTTTTTATGAAGCTGTCTCCTTAATGCTTCATATCAAAAGACAGTATCAGTTATTATGCATTGAATGTGAGAAAAATTTCACATCTTACAAAAAAGTTTAAATTTTAAATTTTCATTGTTAGTAAAATGAATATGATAACTAGTTGAATCACAAAGCCTTTGGCAAATGAGGAAAATGCCGATTAGTTAATTGGCAATGTAGTGATAGAATAGACATAGGCATCTTAAAGGAATAATTTTCATGAATCAAGAAGTCTTAATCCATTTTATGATCAGATGTAAAATTCAAATGTAAAATAAGATGTAGAAAAGAATGACTCCAAGAAATTACCAGTTACCTTTTGATTCATTCTTTGGTCTGTGCTAAGAAAAATCTGCACATCTGTAAAAGAACCTAAAATAGTTCTTTTTAAAAAAATTTGTTTTATTGTAAAGATGCTGTACAGAGGGGTTACAGTTACATGAGTAAGGTAATGAGTACATTTCTTTTTTTTTTTTAATTGTGAAAATACCGTACAGAGGGGTTACAATTACATGGGCAAGGTAATGAGTACATTTCTTATCAAGCATTGTTGCCTCCTCCTTTGTTTCCCCTTCCTATCCCTTCCCATCTCCCACCCCTCCACTCTTCCCCACCCCTGTAAAATAGTTCTTGTATTATTTTTTTAAAACTATGTTTAGAGGAATGGTATTGTAGAGATCATATCAACCAGTATCACTGAGTTATATCCCTGTTACTTTCTTCGCTCCTTTTATCCAAGATAAAATATTAAATATTAAAAAAGTAAACTAAATAGACTCATTTTGTTCAGATTAGCAGCAAATGTACTAAAAGTGGACTTATTTTAAAATGAATTTAATTGTCCATTCCTCACTTTATGTCCATCCCAGGACTTTATGTTTTATGCTTTGTTTTGTTACTGTTATCAAAAACTGTGCTGTGTCTTTTATTTTTTTTTTTTAAACAGCAATGCATGGATCTTCCCTACAACACACCATACCACTCCTGGGCATCTACCCAGAACATCACAAGCCAGGATACCATAAAGACACTTGCACATCCATGTTCATTGCTGCACTATTCACAGTAGCCCAGTTACATAATGATCCAGATGGTCATTAACAAATGAGTGGACACAAAAAAATGTTACCTGTACACAATGGAATTTTACACAGTCATTAGAAAGAAAAAAATTATATCATTTGCAGGGAAATGGATGGACCTAGAACAATAAATGTTAAGTGAGGTAAGCCAGGCTGAGAGAGACAAATGGCTCATGTTTTCTCATATGTGGAAGCTAGATCTAGAATACACCAGGCATGAATATTATGCAGGACTGTAGGCATTCACACACAGTGAGACCAAAGCACACACTGAGGGGAGAAACACAAAGGGCAGTGCCTCTGTGCTTCCTGTCATACAAAAATAATATTTCTCGAAATGAACTCCAGAAAATAGAAACAAGGGTTTTCTTTTTTTAATCTTTTGTCTTTGTTTGCTTTTCTGTCTTGGAGGGGGAAAAAGGGTGGCCAAAAAATGGAGGGACATCAGGTGAACAAATGCAGCAGTGGTAATTAGAAACTATGTTGAAAATGAACTTTATAACTTGTGGGTGGGGATAGGAGGGAAAAACTGGGAGAAAACTAAGGAAGGAGTTACATTGTCCAGAAAGAAATGTACTTATTACCTGATTAAATGGTAACTCCTGTATATCACCTTTATTATAACAATGTGTGTGTGTGTGTGTGTATAGCACAAAAAACTTGAAATTTATATTTAAAAAATAACAGCCTGTAATCTTAGCTACTCAGGAGGCTGATATCTGAGGATCATGGTTCAAAGCCAGCCTGGGCAGGAAAGTCCATGAGACTCTTATCTCCAGTAAACTACTCAGAAAACTGGGAAGTGGCGCTGTGGCCCAAGTGGTAGAACGCTTGCCTTGAACTGAAGAGCTGCATGATAGCACCCCAGTTCAAGCCCACAACGACCGACAAAAAAAAAAAAAAAGAAAGAACTAATCTCAGAATGTTGTCACTATTAAGCCTTGTTATTTATAATTTGAAATCTGTGAGAGAAACAGTGACATTTTGATGGGCAGCTGGCTCTTTGAATCATGTTGTTTAAGGTTGTATGAGAATAGACTTGCAATAAAGTGTTGGAAACCCACTAAAACTCCCTTTAATAATATCTAAAGGAAATCTGTCTACAACAGCTTGCTGTTTTTAGTTCATTGGAAAATGAGAAATACTTTTTGAGCAACCGAAAGTCATTGTCATATCTGCTTTAGGCTCTTGCATTACTGTTTTTTTTTTTTTTGAGTATCATGGACTTTCCTGCCCAGGCTAGTTTCGAACTGTGATCCTCAGATCTCAGCCTCCTGAGTAGCTAGGATTAGAGGCATGAACCACCAGCACCCGGCTTTCTTGCATTACTTTTAAGTACATTTACATAGATTGACTTTTTTTTTTTGGTTGGTCATGGGGCTTGAACTCTGGGCCTGAGCGCTGTCCCTCAGCTCTTCAGCTCAAGGCGAGCGCTCTACCACTTGAGCTACAGCACCACTTCTGGTTTTCTGGTGATTTATTGGAGATAAGAGTCTCACAGTCTCTCCTGCCCGGGCTGGCTTCGAACCGCGATTCTCAGATCTCAGCCTCCTGAGTAGCTAGGATTACAGGCGTGAGCCACCAGCGCCCGGCTCATTTACATAGATTGGCAAATGCAATGTAACAGATAAAATACATTAGCCAACTTGGTCGTTTAGTGAAATGTTGAAAGTTGATAAAGTTGGGTAAACCCAACTAAAGATTTTAGCTAACAGTGGAATTCCTTTTCCATGAGTTTTAGGGGTGGGGGGGATGCAGTTTTATAAAAGTAGGAAGTACAGTGAAAAATGTTAAAAATAATCATTTCCGATCCATTTAAAAAAATTTTTTTTTGGTGTCCGGTTGTGGGGCCTGAACTCTGGGCCTGGGCACTGTCCCTTAGCTCTTCAGCTCAAGGCTAGCACTCTACCACTTGGGCCACAGCGCCACTTCCGGCTTTTTTTTGCTTATGTGGTGCTGAGGAATCGAACCCAGGGCCTCATGCATGCAAGGCAAGCGCTCTACCACTGAGCCACCTTCCCAGCCCCTAAATTATGTTTTGTATATTCACAAAAACAATATAAACTTACTGTGACATCATTGGGAGTCATTAGTAGTAGTTTACTACCACATTTTGGCTTACTAAATCATGTGGCTATCAAACTTTCTTGGGATTTTGTATGGTAGCTTGTGTTTCAAACAGTATAATTTAGAAATTACTTGCATTATATTCCTTTTTGTCTCTAGGTAAAGTTGAGCATTCTCCCCCCTCTAACTTCCCATTCTGCTATACTGAGATTTGAACTCTGGATCTGTTATTTTGGGAAGCAAAATACTCTATTGCTAAGCCATACCCCCAGTCTTGTGATACATCTTTTTTATACTTGAAAAAAGGCAGTTCTTGAGCTTTCCATGAGTCAGTTTTATGAGCTAATGTATTTCTTGTTCAGGGTACATGAATTACTTTAGTTCATAAATAATAACCAGAAGAGATTAAAAGTGTCAGTTATTTAAGCCCAATTTGAAGATAGAAACATTGTATATTCCTAAACTATTAATTTCCTACTTCAGTGCTTACTAAGAATAACTCAGTTGCAAATGTCTCTACAAATGTTATTGTATGTTTTGCTACTAAATGTATAATTTGTGCAATATTCCTGAATAGTTTTTAGACAAACTATACTTGAGATTTATTATTTCCCTTAAAATTAACTTCATTTTCAGATGAATTAGTCATCAAAGTTGGTTTTGTATTTTCAGTTTTATAAGTTACCCTGATGTAGTTTTAGTAAGTAGATTTAGTAAATTTATTGTGTGGCTACTTCGCAAGTGTGAGAATTAGACACAATATAGAGTTTTTTTTTTTTATTTTAAGAGATCTCTTTTTTACAGTTGAGAATAGGATCTTAAGTCCTTAAAGGGTTTTATGTTCCTATAATGGAATTATATGGAATACTTTGGGTTCAATTTTCTAGGAAGAAGTAAAGTTTCTGTAACTTACTAGTTTCTAAGAGGGTTTCTTGTCTCAAAGGGGGTCAAAAATATTTCTTCAAAGGTTTATCAATAGAGAAAAATAGGGATTAAATTCAGGTCAGTTTAATACTTAAAACCAAGATAGATAGATAGGTAGATAGATTAATGTTGCCAGTCCTAGGTGCTATCTTTGAGCTTTGTGCTCAAGGCAAAACAGCTTTTCTGTTCTATCATTTGAGCCACAGCTCCATGTGTAGCTTTTTGGTGGTTAGTAGTTGATAGAGTTTTACAAAATTAACTACCTGGGCTGGTTTTGAGTGGGGAGCCTCAGATCTCAGTCTCCTGAGTAGCTAGGATTACAGGCATGAATCACTGGTGTAGGCTAAAACTGAGATCTTTAATCCTTGATAATGTTGGCTATGTTGTTTTAGTACTTGTAACTCTAATCTTCAGAAAGAAAAACTAAAAGGAATTACCATTCTTTTTTCTCCCCCTCACATAGACAATGAGTTGCAAGGCACTAACAGTTCCGGATCCTTGGGTGGGCTTGATGTTCGCAGACGGATTCCTATAAAACTCATCTCTAAACAAGCAAACAAGGCTAAACCTGTACCTCGAACTCAAAGGACAATTAACAGGATGCCTGCAAAGGCTCCACCTGGTGAGGAAGGTAATTTAATAGGTGTATCAGTTTTTCTGCTTTAATCTGTACCATAGAAGCTGTGTGATCTTAGGTGCTTAAAGCTATCCTTACATAAAATACAAAAACAAAACAAAACATATATGCTATTCATTCTCCAACCTTTTTTGACTCAAACCTTATTTGACTCCCATTTTGGCTTGCTTTACTTTTTTCTTCATAAGTTTTCCTATGAAAAGAATCTATAAACAGTTTGGGAGAAAGCATAACATTAGAAATAGTTTTCTCCTCTCTACTCTTCAAAGATAATCTGTCTTTAATACAGGAATATTAATCACATATAATTTCATTTTTTCCATGTAATCTGCATTTAAGAGTTTGCCTTACCAGTACCATACAGATGTGCTTCATTTTATAAACTGGTTTAACCAGATATCATGGCATGTTCTTAAAACACCAGCACTCAAGAGGCTGAGGCAGAATTCATGAATTCAAGGCTAGCCTGGGCCACATGGAAATACCCCATTTTAAAACAAACATATATAATTTTCTGTGTTTATTTGATAAATATACCCTAATTTATTTGATAATGTTTTTTTAATTTGTTTTGCTGTAACTATTTTAGTAAATATCCTTACACATACAGCTTACCATGTGTACTTTGTAGAATCTGTACTTTGCAAAACATTTGGACATTTAAAACTTGATAATTGTATATTTTGAAATGTCAAATATTGTTAATTTATTCTTCAGGAAAAGTATATTAATTTATACTCCCACACAACAATATTTGGTATTATGAAAGTTTTGTTTTGATGTAAATGTCTTCAATTATGTGTGAGGTTGTATACTTTTTCATAGTTGGCCATTTCTTCTGCCTAGGTGTTTCCTGTTTATGCCCTTTTCCAAATTTTCTTTTTGGCTGCCTGTCTGTATTTCTATGAGTTCTTGGTCAATTAACAAAACCGGCTGCTTGTTACATTGTATATATTTTTTGTCTTGAATTTTATCCATAAAACTTTTACTGAAAAGCCCTTGACAATTTTTTGTGGTCAGATAGTCTTTGCTGTTATTTATCTTAGGCTTTAAGAAATTCTTAAAGTGCCTTCTTCATGTGTTGAGTATGAAACCATTTTCCTATCTTATCATTTAGTACAACTCAGCATACTATGGTCTATGAAGTAGATCTTGGCTCTATTTTTAGAAATAACATTTCTGTAACAGTCAAACAATTCATTAAAGTATTGTATATGGCTATTCTCATAGTACAATAACAACTGAGTAATTGTGACAGAGACTATACATCCTAGAAAGCTGAAAATAGGAAAAAATATTGAAAAAATAATTGGCCTTTTGCAGTATTTACGGATATATATTTTGTCTATTTAATATAAAAAAATAAGGTGAGCTCTTGCTTATTTTTTTCCTCCTAGCCAGTATGTCCTCTATTCAATTGTATTTTCTTTTCTTTTTGAAGCGGAATCTTGCCATTGCATATAATATAGTTCTTAATGTAATTAGGTCTGTTTCTGCACTTTCTGTTGTGTTCCAGCAATTTATGTTTCTTTTAGAAACATGTTAAATCTTATGAAACATGGTTTCTGTACTGTAAGTTTTTTTTGTTTACGTAAACAAGTATATTTGAAGTTGAAATGTAGAGAGCCTTGAGGTATAATTCAGTGGTAGACCATATGCTTAGCATGTGCAAAGGCCTAGGTCCAATTCTTAGCACCAAAGTCAGTCACATTAGTAGCAGCCTACAGGTTGCTACATTGTCTGTAATGTAGGCTTCCCTGCCCTTTGGCTTTTCTTAGGTTATATTTAAAGTATAAACAATATACAATTACAATCTTGGTAAATATCCATATACTACAATAAAACTCAAATTTCCCTTCTGCCTTTTTCCTTGATATCCCCTCATACCCTCACGCTATTTATTTAGCCCCTTCTAGAGGGAACTACTATTAGTAGCTTCTTTGTCATGGAGCTAACTGACCCTCAAGATAATTACTGAATACTTTAGTTTCACCTATTTATATAATTTTTGATTATTCTAAGGCATTGATCAAAATAAGGAGTTTTGGGTGCCAGGATAATTATACGAACATAGCTTAATGACAGAAATTCTATTTGAACCACTCTGAAAAATGGTAATATGCTTCATATTTCCTTGGCCACTGATCTCAATAATTTTCTGGGTTTGGAATACTGATTTTCCTTACTTTGAATTGTAAATGATACCAGCTTTTATGAGGTATGGGCCACATAAAAGACCCCAGGGACACTCAGGTGTCATACGAACACCCTAGCTTTGAACTAGATATTTGTATTAGAGATAAATAGCAATATAGTAGAGTATCTATTAGCTTCAATTTTTTTTTTTTTTGCATCACTTTGTGTGTGTCTGTCTGTACACAGGTGCTGTAATTTAGCCATGTGGGCAAAGTTAAAACTTGTGTGCTTTGGCTACTCTGTTTACCAGTTCTAGGGCCAAAAGAGTCGTGAGAAGCCTGGCACCTTGGAGGGATATATTTGTCTACTCAGCTTTACTTTAGGTAATTGGATTCTATCTAGAATTCCCATTAGACTATTCATTGGTTTTCTGTTCTTTTGTGTAAGAGAATTGCCACCAATTTTTTAATCAATTAGACCAGAGGAATTGAGCCCATTTGATCTTGATGTTACCCAAGTATATTGATGGTTACATGTGTAGATGAAGAAGATATTTGTAAGTATTATGGCTACTGCTGTTTAGTCACTCTCAGCTTAGGACTAAAGAAAAATATACCTAATTTGGTAGGTCATAAGAAAGTCTGCAGAATCATTTATGTTTTCAATGAAGTTTTATATTAGAGAGTCTTGGATTTATTTGAGCACTTTAATGGTAGTCAGGAGCTGTAGGTCTCTTCTTGGCTCTGCTACTAATCTGATAATAGTGAGTTACTGAATATAAACCAAACTGCAGTATTTGCATTTGCAAGTGGGGGGATTAGATTAAATGGTCATTAACATCACTTGTGACATACTGTGAATGAGTTTTAGTTATCTTGCTAGAAGACCTTTAAAAGGCATCAAGACGAGCTTTTCAGTGAACAGTGTGCTGTGTCATGTAAATATACTTCCAGAGTGAAATTTCGGGTTTGGAAAATTAATAGGTAACACTTGTCTTTTTTTTTCTCAGAAGGATTTGATTATAATGAAGAAGAACGTTACGACTGTAAAGGAGGCGAACTGTTTGGAAATCAGCGAAGATTTCCTGGACACCTTTTTTGGGACTTTAAGGTATAACTAAAAATGAAAAATTAAGCATTAGGTACTTGTAATGCAGAACACATGATTCACACCATGTCTGGTATGAATTTTATTATGTCTGTGACTTTCAGCACACAAAAATCATTTGACTATTAGTGCCATATTTGCAGAAATAATCCTAAGTAATGGTTTAGATAAGTAATTTCAGTAACTACTATTTAAAAAGAAAATAAACAAGTGGCATATGCTAATAAACCTAGTTCCAGTTGTTGCAACAACTTTTACCCCCTTTCATTGTATGCATTAGAGATATAAATTTTTGGAATTACTTAAGGATGAAATTTTAATATCATTTCAACAGATAAACATCTTAGGTGAAAAAGATGATACTCCAGTTCATTTCTGTGACAAATGTGGATTGCCTATTAAAATCTATGGGCGAATGGTAAGTATAATTAAAATTAACCTTTTCTATAGAGGTGAGATTCTGGAATTTAAGTAGATAAGTTTATTACTGTTTAATAACTTTATAGTGTTTAGAAACAAACATGAAATACCTAAGGGAAGTTTTGAACTAGTTGTTTTACTACTTTGAAATAGTTTCAGGAGAAACATAAAAACATGTTAGAATCTTTTTTTCAGGAGCTTTTAAACTGTTGGAGCTATGGTTAAAATATATAAAGTTGACCAGAAAGTTTAAGCAGATAGCTTATGGCTTCATGGTATAGGCCTGTGATTTCAGCCCTTGGGAGTTTAAGCAGGAAGATGATGAGTTTAAGGCCAGCCTTAGCTATGTAGGGAGTTTGAGGCTAGCCTGGGCTTATTAGAGTGAGACAATGTCTCATTAAAATAAAAATAAATACAAAATGTAAGCAGATATACTTACATTGGAAAGGGACCAAAGTTTTCAACAATCCTCAAAAGGCTTTATGAAAAAGTTTGACTATTGATTTATATAAGTAGTATAGTAAGTGTTAAAAACAAACAAACAAACAAACCAGGGGGCTGGGAAGGTGGCCCAGTGGTAGAGTGCTTGCCTTGCATGCATGAGGCCCTGGGTTTGATTCCTCAGCACCACATAAACAGAAAACCCAGAAGTGGCCCTATGGCTCAAGTGGTAGAGTGCTAGCCTTGAGCTGAAGAGCTGAGGGACAGCACCCAGGCCCAGAGTTTAGGCCCCATGACCGGCAAAAAAAAAAAAACCCAAAAAACAGCTCTCTGGTGCCTTCTGTGTGTGATGAGTGATGTAGGTCACTGTTAACTAATGTTTTTTGTGGAAATAAAATTTTAAGTTCTAATATACTTAACTATAATATATTTGTTTACAGATTCCATGCAAGCATGTTTTTTGCTATGACTGTGCTATTTTACATGAGAAAAAGGGAGATAAGATGTGTCCAGGGTAAGCTAAGGTTATTTTTACATTTTAAATGGTTAAGTTTGTAATGTAATGAACTCTAAGCTGTTTTAGAATTTGGGGTCTGATGTAGATCAGGCAAGGGCTCAGATGTGCAGACAAGACTAATCCTCTGTGATCTAGGGCTGGCTTTAGTTTAAGATGTGTCTAAGCAGCCACTGTCCACCAATTCAGAGTGGTCAAAATGATGAAATCTGTTTGCCATCATAGAATGAATATTATATAAAGAGCGATTATTTTCTGGGTCATTAAGAGAGAGGTAATATGCTATGGTATATAGTTGAAAGCAGATTCACATGACTATTGGGTGACAGATTCCTGGAACTGCTATTAACTTCCTAAATTCCTTTTAACTGAAACTAACTCAAGACTTTTAATAGTGGTTGCTAACTAAGCTACTTGGGTCAGGCCTCGGTGACTCATGTTTCTAATTCTAGCTACTCAGGAGGCTAATCTCTGAGGATTTAAGTTCAAAGCCAGCCCTAGCAGGAAAGTCTATGTGATTTTTATTTCCAATTAAACACCAAAAAAGCCAGAAATGGAGCTGTGACTCAAATGGTAGTGCAATAGCCTTGAGCATAAAAGCTCAGTGATAGCATTCTTTAAGCCCAAGGACCAGCATACACACACAAAAAAATGCTACTTGGGTTTTTAAGGGATGAGTCCTTTTCGGAGAATGAGAAAATAGCATCACTGGGAGAGAAAGAGATGATTTATGGATAACAGTAACAACAAAATTTTTTAGCATATTCTACTTTTAAAGCAGCATTATGAATTTATATATGATAAAGTACTGAATGTATCAAATGATGACATGTGCTTGGTGGCATTACCTACTTACTGATGATTAAGTGATGTCACTTTGATCATTGCATTTAATCTTACGGATATTTTAAGTAAGTAGATATAAAAACATTGTGAGTTTGGAAGAGTAAATCTTTAAATGCCATTTTACAAAGAAGAAGGTATAAACTCAGATCCATTAAATATCTTCCAATTTGAGAGCCACTACTATATCTCAGCTCTTTGGATTTCTAATTTGGTGTTCTTTCCAAATGTCATGAAACTTTTAAAGACCAGAGTGGATTAAATGTAAATGAATAGTAGTTATTATTTTGAACTGAAGCATTATGAAAATGTTAAGTTTAGTACTTGGAATTTAGAAAGAATATGTACTACATTAAATTTGTCTGATAACCCAGAAAAACTTTCATTAAAGAAACTTGATAGTCAAGATTTGAATTTTTAAGTTACTTACATTGGTTAATGTTAGGAAAGCTAGTGATTAGATAGAATAATCAAATTTGTTCTTAAAGTTCTTGAAGCATTTTTCACTTAGTGTCTACTCCTTCATATTTGTTTAGTAAATACTTGACAGTATTCAGGTTTGAATTCTGTGATTGTGATGATATTTTGCTTTGCCTTGATTTTTTTTTTTTTAAACAAATGGATACAAAGAATACATTCAGGGGGCTGGGAAGGTGGCTCAATGGTAGAGCGCTTGCCTTGCATGCCTGAAGCCCTGGGTTCGATTCCTCAGCACCACATAAGCAAAAAGAAAAAAGCCGGAAGTGGCGCTGTGGTTCAAGTGGTAGAGTGCTAGCCTTGAGCTGAAAAGCTGAGGGACAGTGCCCAGGCCCAGAGTTCAGGCCCCACAACCAGACCCAAAAAGAAAAAAAAAAAAAAAGGAATACATTCAGGGTGTTGGAAATACACAAGGTCTTTCAGTGTGGTCATATTTTGTTGCTAATGGCATTAAGAGTTCTATGTTGACAGAAATGCTAAAACAATACAGTTGGAAAGTCTTATGAATATTTTATTTTTTACATAATGCTTTCAAAGTAGATCTTTTTAAAAACAAGTACATTATTTTTATATTCTTTTCCTAGTAAGTTTTTTCTCCCTTTCTAATTCAGCTGTAGTGATCCTGTGCAGCGAATTGAGCAGTGTACACGAGGTTCTCTCTTCATGTGTAGCATTGTTCAAGGGTGCAAGAGAACGTACCTATCTCAGAGAGACTTACAGGCTCATATCAACCATCGCCATATGAGAGCTGGAAAACCTGTTACCCGGGCTTCACTTGAAAATGTTCATCCTCCTATTGCCCCACCACCAGCTGAAATCCCTGATCGTTTCATAATGCCACCAGACAAGCACCATATGAGCCATATTCCGCCAAAGCAGCACATCATGATGCCACCACCTCCTTTGCAGCATGTGCCACACGAGCACTATAATCAGCCACATGAGGATATTCGAGCTCCTCCAGCAGAATTGTCCATGGCTCCGCCTCCACCTCGTTCAGTCAGTCAGGAAACTTTTCGTATTTCAACAAGAAAACACAGCAACTTAATAACTGTCCCTATTCAGGATGACTCAAACTCAGGTGCTAGAGAACCGCCACCTCCTGCCCCAGCACCTGCTCACCATCATCCTGAATATCAGGGTCAACCAGTGGTCTCGCACCCTCATCATATTATGCCTCCACAGCAACATTATGCACCACCCCCACCTCCTCCACCACCAATAAGCCATCCAATGCCCCATCCTCCCCAGGCGGCAGGTACTCCTCACTTGGTATATAGCCAAGCTCCACCTCCTCCAATGACCTCTGCTCCTCCACCAATAACCCCTCCCCCAGGACATATTATTGCCCAGATGCCACCTTACATGAATCATCCTCCTCCAGGACCTCCCCCACCTCAGCATGGTGGTCCACCTGTAACTGCTCCCCCTCCTCACCATTACAATCCTAACTCTTTACCCCAGTTTACTGAGGATCAAGGAACTCTGAGCCCTCCATTTACACAACCAGGAGGAATGAGTCCTGGTATATGGCCAGCACCAAGAGGGCCGCCTCCTCCTCCACGAATGCAGGGTCCGCCTTCTCAAACCCCACTTCCTGGACCACATCATCCAGATCAGACAAGATACAGACCGTATTATCAATGAGGATAGTATTTTGAACTGAAGTTATGAAAAAATAAACTTACATGTAGTCAGTTTTTTAATTCTGCTTTGACTGTATGGGAAGGAAAATACAAGTACCTCCTGTGAGGTGCTTTAAAACAGATAGGGTCGTACCTATTGAAATGGTTTTAAATCTTGACCTTAGAATTGATTTCTACTACTATACTGTAGTGCAGATAAGCGGCTCAATTGAGCACATAACATTTTAACAACTGTTTCCCTAGTCTGGGAAATTGACCCAGAAGTGACCATTTGTAAAAACTGAAAAAATTTTTTCATTGTTCCACTTTCAAAAATACTGCTTTTTTGGTTAAACCCAATGTTTACTTTTTCTTGTGATAACATTTTGTTAACCTGTGTAAAAGGATTAAATTTCAGTATGGTTGTAAAAATGCTTTATGTGAATTAAAGTGCAGCCACATACTGTTTTTTAAAACCATGTTTTACCACTAATTTCCCAAAGTTATAATAAAATCCTGAAAATAAAACTCTACTAGAATTTGCTATTAGACAGACTGTTAAATGATAGAGAATCACTTCACATTTTAGGCACTGAAGTTTTGAGGTATATTGAGCATATGATGCACGTCACTGGGATGCCTTTTCATGTTTAGACAGCCTTTTTTGACAAAAATGACCTAATGGCAAATTTGTCATTTTATTTTGCTAGGTACAGGCAAAAAATTCCTCATCATCTTTGATCAGAAGCAAGGCAGGAGCACCAACATACATTGGGATACAGATGTTCATATTTGTGTTATTAAAAGGCATTCTAATATGGAAACATTGCCAAAGTAATCAATTCTACCATGCCCACATTGGTGATGAATACTCATTGATGCTTTTTTATAGAATGGTTGCAGTCACCTGCTGCATTACACTTTCTAATCTTAAGTAACATTATTTATAGACATGTTTGAATGGTGTTATTTAGATAAAGTGTGTTCTACTGTGTTCATTATTGTAAGCTAAATACTTAGGGCTGAAGAGGCTTTATATAAATCCTCTTCATGGCAGTTTGATTCTGTTCTTACATGAGTTTTTGTTGGGTTTTAACCTACGACTTGAATGCTATGGAGGAATTTGAATAATGTATTAATGAAAGATGTCTCTTGTAATCACAAATTAGCATTTGCTCAGGTTTCATTGCTATGTGATAGCAGTTTTTCCTCTAACTTGAATTTGGAAATCATTATTTCATATTCCTTTTTGTTGATAAAACAGTCTAAACCTGGAAAGTTTTAATATAGAGTCACCATTGAAGACTACCAGATAATTTTGTATTGGAAGAGAGAAGAGCAATGACTAAATTGTAAATTTCAGTGCTTTATAAGGTGCCTTGAGTTGACTTTTGTATTATAGGAGTTTGTTACAGTACAGCTAAGATGACCACTTAACAGTTTATAGAAATTTCATGTATCAATCAACATTCTTAGGATATTCCTACATATCCTTTAGGTTGAATAAACTCCTGTGAAACTTTTCCTCTCCCCTAAAATGGTGCATAATATAAACATGCTGTGTAGTATGCAGATGTCAGTTATTAGCTTATAGTGTATAAATTGAAAGCCTATTTCTTTCTTTGACAAAGAATGACCTGATGGCAAATTTGCCATTTTATTTTGCTAGGTACAGGCAAAAATTCCTCATCTTTGATCAGAAGCAAGACAATTTTTGAACTTAGGACAGAAGTTAGAAAAACTGTAAATGGCCATTTCAACCTTGTCCAGCCAAGAAGAGCTAATATACTTTTTTCTTAAGTAATTTTTCACACTTAGCAGTATGAGTCTAGTTTATTAATGCACTATTCCTGATAAGAAATTCTTGTTAGAGGCATGGGAGTGAAATAGTGTGAAATGTCAATGAGTGCTTCTATCATATTACTGTAGGTACATGGACTGGTGCAGACTTGATTCTTTTTCATGGCCCCACTTAGGAGCTATTAAAATGATTACTATTAAAATTCCAAACTGTTTTATGATTCATATAGTTAGAAAGTAGCCAAACTCATTGTAGAGTTTCTCAGCTATGAAGATCTCTCCTTTTGTTGAAATTTACTAGAATGTGGTTTAAAAACAAAACAAAACACCACTTAGCCTATGTTTCAGATAAAATAATGTCATGGTAAAACTTCACATTGAAAAATGAAATTTTTAAGTGATTTATTTTCAGTTAGGCTTAATAAATTTGTTATGCAGGGAAGCAGATGAGATGAATGTCCTATAGCAGACAAAGATTTTAAATGTTAGACTTGAATTCATCAGGTAATTGAAGAGGGTTGGTGGGTAGGAGGATACCAGATTACGTTTAGTGTTTCTTAAGGAAAAAGATGTGAATCCCAACCTTATTTCAGGGAAGCCTTTGAAGCTAATGATGGACTTAAGTCTAAATGTATGTTTCGTTATATTGCTCATAAGACTACTGAGGTGGCAGTTCTTTAAAATAATAAAATGGAAGCATAAATACTATTTTGCCTACAGTTTTTAACTGAATGATGTCACATTGGGAGAAAGTTATTCATGTTTATGTTGATACAACTTTCTATAGTAACATTAGGCTCACTTTTAAAAAGTGAAATAAGTTGATTGTGATATTTACTCACTGGCATATTTGTTTAAATACAGTATTTGGGGAAAGATCCATTGCAGAGACTGTACAAAACTTCATTTTGCCCTGTAAAAAACCACTTGTTTAAGACTAAATACTAATCAACTGTAACTGCAATATAAATACAAAAGGACATGTATGTGTATATGTAGGTATAATATATATCATATATATTGCAGATCTGACAAATAGGCTCTATGTTCTCTAAACATCCAAATCCATGGTGTGTAGTATTTTATAATCTTTATCCAATCACAGTTTCTATGGTATAGGATATAAATTTCATTTGAATATTTGTTTTAGACACACTGCTAAACAGTTGTGATGCACCGTCTAGAGATAAGTGACCCATAAACATTAAATTAGGAGTATGATGAAATCATGGGGGGAAAATGTATAACTGGGGTAATTTGCAACTGAATGCTTGTGAATGAAGATACTAAGTAGGTGAAAGCCACATAGGTAATGTGGTCAGAGTTTTCCAGCCAAACAAGTAATGGGGAGACCAGAGGCTTTCTAACCCATCTTTAAAGACTTCAGTAGACCCAGGAAGCCACATTGGCATTCTGAGCAGAGGAATATAAGGGGATGGTTTGGTTCTTTTTCTTTTTTGTGCCAGTCCTTGGTCTTAAACTCAGGCCTGGGCATGCAACTTAGCTTTTTTGTTCAAGGCTCACTTTACCATTTAAACCACTATTCTACTTCTGGCTTTTTGGTAGTTAATTGGACTACTGCCTGGATTGGCTTTGAACCATGATCCTCATATCTCAGCCTCCTGAATGGCTAAGATTACTGGTATAAGCCACTAGTGCCTGGCAAATTACATATTTAAAACATTAGTATTTTTGGATAGGCTTTTTAATGAAAACATGAAGAATGGAGTCATTATTCGTAGAGGCAGAAAAGATGATGGCAGAGCCCATTAAGAGGTGCAGGTCAGCAGAATGAGTTAAATATAAATTGCTCAGCATTTATTAGTTTAACATTTTTCCATTCGAGTCATGTTTTTGTCTCCAGATTACTCTGTTCCCCAGTTACATCTTTAAGTCCAATAGACAAGCCCTCTCAGTAAAGACACTTAACTAAGGATGAATGAATACTTCAACAATAAATGTTTAGAGCTAAGTCTAAAACAATTGGGACAGCTTTTTCCATTGACAAAGTGGTTTGATGATTAATAGAGGGCACTGAATCCTTTTCTGGTGGTGCTGATGTTTAATTTCTAGCAATCACATGAATAAATACAAATTCACATCATCAGCAATGTCAGTGGGTACTGAATCTCATTCTTAGAAACTGATATCTAGAACTGTGTATTACCCTGTGAGGTACAAATAACTAGCAGCTGGAGTGGGCAGAGGAATTGTACTACTTCCTAAGGTTTATTTTCTCCCAGTGAGGCCAGGAAGAATTAGATCCCTGTCATGGTTTCTCTGTTTTTTCCCTTTGCTTTGTCATTTTACAGCCCCTATTAACTCACAGTTTTTATACCAGGAAGAGAGCAACAAAGATTTGCCTTAAAAATTAGCCTTAAAAATTATAGGCTCATGCCTATAATCCTAACTACTCAGGAGACTGAGATCTGATTGTGGTTCCAAGCCAGCCCCCGCAGGAAAGTCCTTAAGACTCTTACCTCCAATTAACTACCAGAGAATCAGGTGGAGCTGTGGCTCTCAGTGGTAAAAATGCTAGCCTTTAGCAAAAAAAAAAAACTCAGAGACGGTGCCCAGGCCCTGAGTTCAAGTCTCACAACTGACCAACACACACACAACTAGTTGTAATTACAGATGTGACATTAGGAGGACTGTGTCTGTATATGGGAAGGTTAAATACCTTAAAAACACTGGCTGCCTGTGGCTCACACTTGTAATCCTAGCTACTTGTGAGGACTGAGAACAGAAAGACAAGTGCAGAATCAGCCCCCTTCAACTGATACCTGCTGACAATAGTGCACATCTATCATCCCATTATATGGGAGGCTGAGATTGTGAAGATCATGGTTCCAGGCCAGATGGGGTAGCCGAGAATGCAAGACTGCCTTCTATAGAGTGAAGCAGGACAAGGTGGTGCACAGCTGTGATCCCAGGAACTAAATTAGGCAGATCCCAGCTCAGGCCCATGCCCCTGCGCCAAGCAAGACTAGTCTAAAGATAACCAGTGAAAAATAGGATTAGAGGTGGCTTCACAGTGTTTTGCCAGCCTAGCAAGTGTAGGACCATGAGTTCAACTCCTGTTATTGCAAAAACAAACAACTGAACAACAACAACAAAAGCCAAATGCAGCAATAATCATAAAATCTGGGCAAAGAAGTCTCATTACAAGAGTTTTGTTAAAAGATGTAATTTTCTGTTTCCATCATTATGAAAGGGGCCCACATCAAGCATGTTCCAGAAAGCTAACAAGTTTAATAAAACATCTGTTGTACAACTGAATTTTTTTACATGGAGATATAATACCATGACATAAATTATGAGATCCAAAACACTGGTATAAATACACCATAGAATATTTATTATAAGAGAAGGGAGTGACTTTGATGGAAATTTGTGTGTTCAATATATATACATATATATATACACATATATATACAAAACAATTTTCTTCCCTTGATAAATCTACAAAGTACAAAATTATGAGTATTTACATAATTTCATACTAAATATGTGAAAAATATACCATGCTAGAACAATCTCGTTCCAAAGTTTGAAACATAATTCTGTCAAAAAATTCTTCATACAATGTATGAACTTATCAATAACTTTCTAAGTATAAAGTTCTTGATGTGACAATCAGATGAGGATCCTTCTGAGTTAAATTTTGATTAGAATTTCGTTTCCATTGGTACCTGAAGAAGAGAGAAAGTTTTGTTTTAAAAGATTTGTTAAGTTCTAATGTCAATGGAGGCTAGAATTCAAGACAATTTTTTGTCTTGAATTTTAATGACTAATCTTACATTGCTACTTGTTAACAGAGATCTATGTGACATGTTTGATCTACGGACCTACTGCAACTTAAGTAAAATAATACTACAATATGCAATAGTGATTTATTTCTTCACATTTGTTTCAGGGACCACAATGACTTTCAAAAGGCCATGTATGCTAGCCAGCCACATTCAGTTTTTAATCCTCAATAGAGTAAAACATTGTATGTAAATATGGATAGGAGGGCTGGGCGTCAGTGACTCAGGCTTGTAATCCTAGATACTCAGGAGGCTGAGATCTGAGGGTTGTGGTTTGAAGCCAGCCCAAGTAGGAAAGTCTGAGACTCTTGTCTCCAATTAACTACCAAAAGCTTGAAGTGGAGCTGTGGCTCAAGTGGTAGAGTGCTAGGCTTGTGCGAATAAGCTAAGGAACCACACACAGGCCTGGAGTATAAGCTCTAGTACCAGTATACACACACACACACACACACACACACACACACACACGCATTGATGGGATGTTAGATGCTTTAAAAAACTGAAGTGAGCCAGGTGCTGGTGGCTCACACCTGTAATCCTAGCTACTCAGGAGGCTGAGATCTGAGGATCACCATTCAAAGTCAGCCCGGGCAGGAAAGTCCGTGAGACTCTTATCTCCAATAAACCACTAGAAAACTTGAAGTGGCGCTGTGGCTCAAGTCGTAGAGGGCTCCCCTTTGGCTGAAGAGCACTGGGACAGCGCCCAGGCCCAGAGTTCAAGCCCCATGACCGACCAAAATTGAATAAATAAAATAAAATTGAAGTAATGCTGGGCACATGTGGGGCACATACCTGTAATCCTAGCTACATGGGGGTCTGAGAATAGGAGGATCAAGGCACATTTAGATTTTACTACCGCTGTGGCTTGTCCACAACAGTGGACTTACTTTCCTCTAAGAAAAGCCAGGAGCCAATGTTAAATGTTTCAAGCTTGGGTCAAAAATCAGATTTGAATGCTCTTCTGTGCTTTATTCCCTGTTACTTCTTGATAGTTCCGAATCTAGCTACGTGCAGAAGGATTTTTTGATATGATTTTTTTTCTGTTTATTTAATCAAGGTACTCAGACAAGGTACTGAGTCTGCCTTTCTCTAGAATCAAGTGTTGGGACTCAGCATTGTGGTCCTTATCGAGACTGTCTCACTTCAGGTCTATTTAACTTTCTTGAATGACTTTTTCATTTGACCTTTGCTACTTGATAAAACTCTGTTTCAGTTCACACCTCTTCATTTCTGATCTATAGTCCTATTCCCTGTTCTTAGATCTTTAAGAGAAATACTACCTCCTGTGCTTGAAGACAACCATTTCGTTCTTTCTCAACTACTTCTTTCTTTCATTGAAGGATAGAAGCAGTATAATACTACAGTGAAGAGAACATAGGTTTGAGTTCTGTTGCTGTCACCAAGTATGTGACTGTAAGCAAATTAGTGAAGCTCTCTGAGCCAGCTTCCCAACTTCCTCATTTGTATCATGAAGATAGCATTTTCATCTATTGTCATAAAAAAGATTAAAATAACGAAAGCATGTTCCTGCCATGTACTGGGCCTATAAATCATCA